GGGAGTCCAGCGACATAGCCATTACACTAACTGCTGGTCCCAAAAAAGATTTAATTTTATTGGGACTGGCAGGTGGCATGGTAGTTAAGGGCTGTGCCACATGGCTGACCACAGTTCAAGTCCCGGACCCTCCTTTTTCACTTTCTCTCTTTTCTCTTTCTCTCTCTCACTCTATCCTTCTCTGGTCAAATTTAAATAAGTAGATAAATAAAGTTAAATAAAAATAATATTTTTTAAATATATATATTTAATTATATTTATTTACTTATTTATTCTTTTTTTTCTTTGAGAGCTTTTTGCTATAAGGCACGTGTGCTCACAAGAAAGACAGAGATAGAAAGCAAGAAATCACCCCCCCAGGTGGGATGGCCATGCTGCAATCCCTTCTCCTCCATTCTTCCCCCCCAGCATGAGTTCAAGCCACTGGGTCCAGGACTCAAACCGCAGTCGACTATATGGGAGTCCAGCAACATAGCCATTATGCTATCTGCTGGTCCCTATTCATTTCTTTTTAATTTGACCAGAGAGAGACACAGAGAAAGTGAACCAGCAAGCTGCCATGTCTGGGACATGAATTATGACGAGTCATGTGAGAATCTAGTGCCCTAACAACCACTTAACCTGCTGGCCCCACAAAAATTTCTGTACTTAAAAATAAATAAATAACCCAAGAGAATAGAGAAGGATTTGTGGCATGGCTGTCCTCCCTATGGCGTGATTTCCTGCTTTCTGTCTCTTTCCAGCGGTCACATGTGCCCTATACTAAAAAATCTCTCCAAAAGAAAAATTTTTATTCTTAGCAGGGAGGGTCAGCAGGTGGCTTAGTGGTTAAGGTGCTAGACTCCTGCATGGCCGACCCATCATGGTTCAAGTCCCAGACCCAGTGACTTGAAACTCAGAAGTATATGCATCCCAAAACCCTTAGGGGAGAATAGAGGAGAAGGCATTGAGTTGTGGCCAATCCCCCAGGGGATGATTTCCCGCTCTCTATCTCTCTGGCGAGCTCACCTACCCATTAACAATTTTTTTTTTTTTATAAAAGAGGTTTTTGCCTTAGAGCACATGCACTCATGGTGTGTGGAGTGTGTGGCAGAGACCGTGAGAGGAAAAGGGAGAAATAACCCCCAGGGGGTGTGGCCACACCACAATCCCTTCTCTTCCACTTCTCCCGGGATCTTGGGCATGCATACATATGCTTCTGGCATGGGCATGCCTTTGAAGCCGCTGGGTTCGGGACTCGAACCATAGTCAACCATGTGAGAGTCCATTGACATAACCACTATGTCATCTGCTGGACCCACAAAAATCTCTCAAAAAAATAAAATTTCTTTCTTAGCACTTTATAGTTTGTCCAAGTAGAGAAAGAAACCCTGGTTATTAGAGAAGAGTATTTCTCAAACCCTTGGGAATCCTTTGTATTATGTCTAGATGTGATAAAAAGCTTTATTCTTTGATTCAACAAATCATTATTGAGCACCAAATAATTACAGTGTCAGGCACTGGGAGAGATAAAGGGATGAAAGAAAATCTCTGGGCTCTTAAAAACAGTGGTGAAGGCAACCCGCCTATGCTGGGGGAAACGTGTGTCATCACATTGGGACAGCTCTCTCAGATTCCTCTTGTTTGTACTCCTTAGTCTGAAGTCGCAGCTGGCGTGAAGAAGAGCGGACCCCTGCCCAGTTCCGAGGTAGAGTGTCCTGTGTGTTGTCCCTCCTGAGGGGAGGGTGTTGGTAACGCCAGTGCAGGTAACCCTCTGACAGAGCTAGTGCTGATGCTGCCGGCGAAATGCTGCTGGCCAGCCCACAGGGTTTGTGTGCCAGCCTGCTGGGGTTTTTCTATGCAGAGATTGGAGAACATTCTCTTTGGACCTCATGACTGCTCCCATGCCCCTTCAGATGGCTGTCCAGTCATCCCAGCCAGTGGTAATGTAGAGGGCCCTTGGGACTACCCTGTGGGGACGGGACAAGTGGCTTATGTAAAATCTGATAGACTTTAACCTTGCTGACTTCTGTGCTTCTAGGATCTGTGCCAGTTCAGAAACAGACGAGTCTCTTCCCTGACCAGAAGGAAGAGACATTGCTGGATACCGGATGCCTTATTGCTACTGCCGTCATCACATTATTCAGTGTGGGTAACTCAGAAACTTCACCGGGGGGTGTAGACTCCTGGGGACTTCTTTACCCATGGTGCTGGGTTTATCAGACAGGCTGTCACCCTGGAGTTTATACATGCTTTGAGACTAATGCCAAAAGTAAAACCCAGCAGCGGTGGAGAGAGGTGCGGAGAGACAGCAAAGTGGTGTCTGCTCCTGTGGAGGAGGTGGGGAGGGTTGTCTTGTGCGCACTGTGTGTGGGCGAAGAAATCCTCTAAGAATGGTTGACGTCTTAGAACTTAGCAGTCCGTAATGGGAGGAGGGACACAAAAGTGAAGTTTCTTGCATAGGCCACAGGGGAAGGACAGGGATGGAGTAAGAGCTGCTCCTGCAGAACATGTGCTGCATGTACATGCTGCTGGCCAAGCCCCGCACATCTGCATGTGCTCTGGGTGAAGAAGGGAAAACTTCAAAGACCTTTTCTTGTATGCTGTGGCTCATTAGAGAAAGCGAGGAGCAGGCTGTGCCAGCACTAGTGAGTGGGTAGAGCCTTCCCTCCCATCCCTGGAAGGTAGGAAAGGGATGGCAGTGACTTTGTCTGTTCTGTAGACCTAGCGTGGCTGACCTGGCCCCTGTCCTGGAGTGTGCACTGGGCTACAGCAGATCTCCCCATCTGTTACCCCTTGGGTCTCTTCTGCCTGAGACAGAACTCTGTGTTCCTGGTCATAGAAAGAGCAGGGTGCATATGTTAGAATGGGTGAGTGCTAAAACAACCAGACATAAAACAAAAATGCACAGATAAAACTCTGAATACTAGGCCCAGCCGAGTAACACAGACAGTAGGGTACCACCATATCCTGGAGCCACATGGGAAACCCGTGTTGAGATCCTGAGTTGACATGAACACACTGGGCATGTCTGCATAAACATATGTCTTGGCTGGCCGGGAGTCTGCGAGGATGACCACAGCATGGCAAGACTTTCTCAGGGGTGTCTGCCTTGTGTGTGTCTGTCTATCCTCTCATTAAAAAAAGAAAGATTTTTTTTTTAAAGTTCTTGGGGCAAGCAGGAGGCATGGTGGTTAAAGTGTTGGACTCTGCCATGGCAGACTGCAGTTTAAGTCCCAGACCTGGTCGCTTGCTTTCTCACTTTTCCTCTCTCTGGTGAACACACATGCCCTACAGCAAAATTAAATACTAATGAATAAAATTTAATAATTCCTTAAAAAAAAGCTCTCAATACTGCAAGCAACAGGTGTGGTAGAAAGGAAAAATTGTAATAATTTTCAGAAAGAACTGAGAAGCAAGAATAATGTCTCTCTTGGATAATGACAAGTATCAAGCTTATTAGCAAATGTTCAGATGGTAAAAAAATCTGGGTGGTACAGTCAGTTACAGCATTAAATTTCACAATCCTTCCATCGTGTTAGAATGTTGGACCAAAGCCAAGAAGGTGAAATGATTATCTGCATAGTGTACTGCCTTAGATTTAACCTTTTTTTACCTTAATTATATAAATTTAGATTGAGTCTCGCTTCAGCAATTCATGAGAAAAATGTAAAGGAGCTTTGGTTGACCACAGAGTTAGTATGAGCCATCATACTAACTGCCAGCCATGGCCATGCAGCAGTCACCTCTCCTCCATTCTCCTCTGGGATTTGGGGCACACAGGCACATACGCTGGCATGATTGATCCTCAAGCCTTCAGGTTCAGGATTCGAACCACAGTCAGCTATGTGGGAATCCAGCCACCTTAATTCCATGCTAGCTGCTGGCCCAAGAAAATTTAGCCATTATTGGGGCCAGCAGGTGGTGTGGTGGATAAGGGCGTTGGATTCCCACATGGTCGACCATGGTACAAGTCCTAGATCTGGTGGCTTGCTTTCTTGCTTTCCCTTTCTCTCTCTGGTGGTCACGTCAAAAGATAACAATAACAAATAGAATTAAATAAGTAAATCATTCTTTTTAAAAAAAGGAAAAAGAAAATTTAGCCATTATTATTATTTTATTTTATTTTATTTTTAAGAATTATTTATTTGGGGGCAGCAGGTGACATGGTGGTTGAAGCACTGGACTCCCACATGGCTGACCACTGTTTGAGTCCCAGACCTGGTGGCTTGCTTTCTCACTTTCCTGCTCGCTCTCTCTGTATCTTTTTTCTGGTAAGCACACATGCCCTATAGCAAATTTAAAAATAAGAATAATAAAAATGAGGTTAAGTGATTCTTTAAAATATTTATTATTCAGTTTTACTATTTATTTATTTATTTATTTGGAGAGGTTTTTGCTATAGGGCGCGTGCGCTCGCCAGACAGACAGAGACAGACAGAGAGACAGAAAGCAAGAAATCACCCCCCAGGGGGGATGGCCATACCACAATCCCTTCTCCTCCATTCTCCTCTTGGGATCTTGGGCACGCACGCACGCACGCACATGTGCCCGGCATGAGTTTAAGTTGACGAGAGAGAGGGAAAGTGAGAAAGCAAGCCACTAGGTCCCATACTCCACATGCGATCAGCCACTCCAACCACCATGGCACCTGCTGGCCCCACCATTAGAGAGGGAAAGTGAGAAATCACCCCTCCAGGAGTTGGCCCCACCACAATCCTTTATGCACTGCATTCTCCTCCTAGGATTTTGGGCTTGCACGCACATGGCCCCAATGTGAGTTTCAAGCCACTAGGTCTGGGACTCCAACTGCAATGGACTATGTTGGAATCCTCGTACCATAGCCACCCTCTGGCCCAAGAAAAATTAGCCTTTACTATTAATAACACAGTTATCCTCTTGCCTTTTTTTTTAGTTTTATTTATTTTATTTCTTTTATTGGAGCATACATGTGCACGAGAGAGAGAGAAAGACTGGCATCCCCAACAGGGTGACCACACCATGGTCCCCTTCTAGCCCTCCAGGTAGGCAGGATATGGGCCTTATGCACCCAGCGTGTTCTTGATTGACTTAGAGCCCAATCCCACAGGCAGCCGTGTGGCTCCCAGCGCTGTAGGTGGTGCTCACATCCCAGGGGCGGCCGCGCGGTTCCCAGCACTGTAGGTGATGCTCATGTCCCACGGGTCGTCGCGCGGTTCCCAGTGCTGTAGGTGGTGCTCACGTCCCATGGGCAGCCGTGTGGCTCCCAGCGCCGTAGGCAGCACTCACGTCCCACTGGTGGCCGCGTGGTTCCCAGCGCTGTAGGTGGTGCTCACATCCCACGGGCGGCTGTGTGGCTCCCAGCGCTGTAGGCGGCGCTCACGTCTCACGGGCGGCCGCGTGGCTCCCAACGCTGTAGGTGGTGCTCACACGACCACTTGTGCCATTCAGGCTAGGCCTCTTGCTTGCTGCTTGATGTCACACATGATGATAATTTGTCAGTTTTATCTGTCCTTGTAGGAACCTAATGTTGAAGAAAATGAAAAGGGTCCATTAACAGTTGCACAGAAAAAAGCACAGAACATAATGGAGTCTTTCGAAAATCCATTTAGGATGGTAAGTACTGGTTGTGTATGCTGGTGGAATGTGGAGAGAGTGCTGCAGCCGTATGTGCCTCTTACCTGGAAAAGAAGCACAAGTCCTTGGAAAAAAGAAGCATCTGTGTGTCAGCTGCCCCCCATTCTTCACCCCATGCCTTAAGTCGAGGCCTTCTATGTTAACTCCAGAAAAACCCCATCCAGTGCCCCTGTGTGTGGTCCATGTGGAGAGTGGCTACCAGATTCCACTCAACAGCATTTCACGTGACTGTTTCCCTTTCTTCAGTTTCTGCCATCACAAGAACACCGTGCTCATATCTCTCAGGCCGCAAAGTTTGATCCATCATCGAAAATCTATGAAGTAAGTAGGTTTATCTCCTTTTCTTTCATTTTTTTTAGATTTTTGCTATAGGGCGCATGTACTCACTAAGGAGAGATAGAGAGAGAAAAGTGAGAAACCCCTCTGGGGAGATGACCGCACCTAACCCCTTCTCCATTCTCCTCCTGAGATTTTGAGCAACACGCACATTCGCCTGTGTTATTCTCAAGCCACCAGGTCCAGGACTCAAACCACTGTCGGCCATGTGGGAATCTAGCACTTTAACCACCATGCCACCTCCTGGCTCCACCCTACCTTTTTATTTTGGAGAGGCTTTTGCTATAGGGCACCTGTGCTTGCCAGAGAGAGACAGAGAGACCGAAAGCGAGAAATCACCCCCCAGGAGGGATGGGCACGCCACAATCCCTTCTCCATTCTCCTCTTGGGATCTTGGGCATGGACACAGGTGTGAGTTTAAGCCACCGGGTCCGGAACTCGAACCGCTGTCAACTACATGGGAGTCCAGCGACATAGCCATTACGCCAGCTGCTGGTCCCGCCACCCTACCATTTTCTAACTGTGCTCCTCAGACAAGTTACATAGCCCCCCTGAGCCTGTTTCCGTGTCTCTAGAGGGAGGTGAGGCTGGTACATATGTCCCAGGGTTACAAGAGGGATTGAATGAGGTGATGAATGTGAAAGCCTCTAGCTCAGTGCCTGGAAATACAGTTGTACTTTGTCTTCCTCACTAAGGATTTTAAAAGTAAAGTTGGTAGATTTTCACTTTTTGTGTCCTTAGATTTGAATTTTATGACATGTGTATTATTAGGTTAGCTTTCTATACATCACCTTATTTTTTTTAAAAAAAGCATTTCTGGTAACATTTTCTGGTAACATTTGTTTTCATCATAGATCAGCAATCATTGGAAGTTGGCAAACCAGGTACAAGTACAGAAAGAATCTAAGGAAGCTGCCAGGAAGGAGGCAGCTGAGAAAACAGGTACTGCTCACTCCCTTGGAAACTCAGGTAGCGTGTTTGTTAAAGGGCGGGCTTGCACGTCGGTCTGTTTATTCAGTGTCCACGCAAGTGCCAGATACGTCAGTGAACAGCGCAGGCCCAGCCCCTGCCTGGGGTGCTAACCTTCCACCGAGGAGCAGTGGGCGAACAGCCAGCAAGCGTCGATTGTGTCAGGAGGCAGCGGGTACTATGCAGAGAGAAAGGCGGGGAGTGCTTGAGGTGGGGGCTGTTCTAGACGACGCCTAGAGAATGCGGTCTACGAAGTATGGCTCAGGCACCCCAAAGGCATTGGTCGAGAGCCTTGTGGGCGTGCTCAAGGAGTAGCAAGGAGGCCTGTGTGGCTGAGCAGAGCTCACGAGGAAAGGGGAGCTGATGAGGAAGGAGAGCAAGCCGGGCCTGATGGAAGGACGTTAGCTTTCACTCCAGGTTCTGAGCAGCGGAGGGACAGGACAGGCTTAGCTTTGTGAAAGTCACTCCAGCTGCTGTGTTCACTAGACAAGGGGGGGTGGGCAGGAGCCTGGTGAGGAGATACGACAGTAACCCCGGTGAGGGGATGGTGGCCTGGACTAGTGTGGGGGCAGAGACAGATGTGGCGTGGGAAGCAAGGAAGGGGCCGTAGATGCTGGTAGACTTCGCCCTGAGCAGCTGGAAAGATGGAGTCGCCTTCACTGGGTGAGGTGGAGCTGATTCCAACAGGAAGAGGTTTTGCTTCTGCCCCTTGACCTTGATGGCTCCCACAGCCGTTAAACGTCCTCAGAGTCGAGTCACATAGGCCGTTGGATATTTGCTCTGGGTTCTGGGAGGGGAGCAGGCGGGTGGAGGAGGATCCGATTGAGAGTGTAGATGAGGTAAGACAGGCACCCGAACTGAGCCCAATATTTAGAGACTTGCGAGGTGGAAGTCGGAGAGCGAGGGATGGACTGTGACCACCCTTGGGAAGGCCGAGCCCAGTGGGATGGAGAATTGGCTGCTGGATTCAGCCACCCCATTGGCAGTTCTCTCTCGCAGCTGCCCAAGAACAGGCAAAGGAAGAGTACAGAGCCACAGCGGAGCAGGCCGTCTCTGTCCGACAGCAGGCTGCGGTATGTGCTGGCTTTTCTGTGTATTCTTTTGAGAAACTGGATGCTTCTGGTCCTGGCCTGGATTTCCCTTGAATATCGCTTCCTTCTTTCCAGTTCACTACTGCCTGCCTCATCTGCCCTCAAAAAATGTTACGTTGTAATTTCCGATAGACAATGTCCTTCCAATACATAATGTCCTTGCGGCTTCATGTAAACATACCAGACTGCTCGTCAGTAGTGGCAGTGAAGGTACCGAGGTGCCAGATTGGAGCCTGTGGTGTTTCCCACTATGCCCTAGCGAACATTTCCTCCTCTTCTACTCCCTGCCCCCAGCACTCCAGAATTCTTAGCCCCTGCTTTTCTTCAATGACCTGATGCTATTGTCCTGTTAGAAACTTGCTCCATCTGGTGCCATGTGACTGTCCTTGAGTTCCCTCCTGCACAGTCACCCACCACGGCTCCTCTCCCCACCCTGAATCTCCCTCCACCCCACAGGGAAGCTGAGTCCCCAGCTAATTCCAAGGGCAGGTGGAACTCTCTTAGACTCTGCCATGCTTCCTTTGCATGGGTGTGTTCAACCTACAGCTAGAAAATGCTGCTAAGAAAAGAGAGCGAGCAACAAGTGACCCAAGGACCACAGAGCAGAAACAAGAGAAAAAACGACTTAGAATTTCCAAGAAGCCAAAGGACCCAGCTCCACCAGAAAAAGACTTCACCCCTTATGACTACAGCCAGTCGGACTTCAAGGCTTTTGCTGGTGAGAAAGGACTGGAGACCTGTAAAGGGACATCTGGTCTTACTAGGTGGGATTTTGGGCACGCACACATGCACACACACCTGGCATGATGTTCAAGCTGCCAGGTCCAGGATTCAAACCACAGTTGGCCATGTGAGAGTCCAGCACCTTAACCACCATGCCACCTGCTGGCCTCAGAGCCAGGATATTGAACCATGCATTCGGGATGTTGGATCCAACTTCATTAACCACTAGGCCATGGGGCTAGCCCAGATTTTGTTTGTTGAAAAGACCTGAAGCTGGGACCAGCAGTTAGCGTAATGGCTGGGTTGCTGGACTCCCCTGTGGTCGACCGCGGTTCGAGTCCCGGACCTGGTGGCTTAAACTCACACCGGTGTATGTGCATGTGTTCCCAAGATCCCAAGAGGAGAATGGAGAAGGGATTGCGGCATGGCCAGCCCCCTCTGGGGGTGATTTCTTGCTTTCTGTCTCTCTGTCTCTGTCTTTCTGGAGAGCACACGTGCCGTATAGCAAAAACCTCTCCAAAAAAAGAAAAAAAAACCTGAAGCTGACCCAGCCCGATAGCACAGCGGTTAAGCCCTATGCAGAGGGAACCAGATGCCTCATGGCTGACCACAGTTCAGGTCCATCCCCCACAGCAACACACCAAGCATGACTGTGTGCATGTCCAGGATCCTGGCAGGACAGAGAATGGAGGGAAGGGACTGTGGCGTGACCAGGCTCTGTCGGGGATGATTTCTCTCCCTCCTTCTCCCTCCCTAGCCCCCTTCCCCTCCTCCCTCTCACGCATGTACCCACACGCTTCGGCGCTGAAAAAGGAAAGAAAGCCTGAAGCCTGTGCAGTGACACAGCCTGGGAGAGACAGCTGCTTGGAGGGGCAGCAGATGGCCATCCTGATTCTGCAGTAGCAGCTAGGGCAACGCTCCCACTGGGAAGAGGAAAGGCAGGATAGACACACAGGGCTTTTCTGCAGGAGCGCCACTTTGGAGCCCAGCTACTGATGGCATCAGCACAGAGACCGGGATGGGTTTCCTTGAGGAGGAAGTGGCCACCGCCTTAGTCTCCTGCCCTAACACTGAGACGAGATCTGTGAGAGACGGGCCTGGTCTTCCGGCTGCCCAGAGCTAGTTGGGAACTTAGTATCTTACTTCACCCCCACCTTTAGCTCCTTGGCATAAAACGGGCCACACAGGGACAGCAGTCGCCTTCCTGAATATCACGCCACCAGGTCCCTCGTATGCCTGTGACGTCTGTTAAGTGGTGACCACGCCCACTGATGCCTCTCCTCCCTTACCTTTCAGGAAACAAGACCAAACCATCTTCCCAGTTTGATCCAAATAAGCAGACCCAGTCTAGCAAGGTAAGACAGACCTGGAGGGGCCCACAGTGGCATGGAGGGTAAGGCAGCTGAATCCCATATGGCCAGTTTGAGCTCTGGACCTGGCAGTTTAAGGAACATGCCAGGCACGTGTGCATGACCAAAATCCCAAGTGGAGAATGGAGGTGAAGAGACTGGTGTGACCATCCTCCCTGGAGGGTGATTGCTCATTTTCTCCCTCTGTTGCCAGCAAGTGCACACACCCTATAGCAAATTTAAAAATAAAAGATGGAGAAGACGTACTGAAGAATCGTAGCTTGCTTCTGTGAGAGAGCTGCACCCCCAGCAGGTCTTCACCGCACCATCCAGCCTTGGTCTGAGCTGGGTCCTGGGCACACACATGCCCAGCATGCCTGAGGACGGTCCAGGACCGTTCTCATAGGTCCACGTTCCTTCCCGCTGTGCCACTCCCCGGCCTTCCTCTGCACACTTCTCACTCTCCCTTTGCTGAGAAGACTGGTTCATGTAGGAATCCTTTTCCTTTGCATATCCTTTCCCTCGCCTCATTTCTCCCCAGGTACAGACAATCCCCATCAGGTATTCCAGCAGCTTTTTAAAACCTCTGTGTCGGTTTCTGTTTGCTACCATGGAAGTGATAGCTGCAGGCCACAACCACTCCCTCTGGTGCAGACGCAAGCCCGGATCTGCCCCACGTGGGTAGAGTGCCAGGCAGAGCTCAGTGGCTGCAAGTTGGGCATGTGCAGGTGGGGCTGGGAGGAGCATTCCTGTTCCTCAAGGGTTGCACCCTAACAGACAGAAATGCCCGGTTACATGAAAACCAACGCCGTGTTGTGATGCTGGAGTGTGACCAGCCGTCAAGCTCGTGTGTGTTTTCCTGTGTACCTTGTGATCAGAGTTGTCACCAGCTTTAATGGTTTTTTGCCTTTCAGAAATGTATCGCAGCCAAAAAACTCAAGCAGTCAGTGGGAAGCAAAAGCATGTCCTTTCCCACTGGAAAGTCAGACAGGTATGTGGTAGATGCCCGCTTGGCCTGGGGAGCCCAGCAGGGAGGCGCCTGCCGGACTTCGTGCCATCCTGGGAACGGCAGCTCAGAGCCTCCCACCGCCAGCTCCTCGGCCACTCAGAACACTGAGAGGAGTAGGGATTTGCTCTGTGCCACGTGTCACGTAGCCAGTCACCGCGTGCCAGCACTCATGCCCTGTCGTCTCAGCACCCTGTTCTTACCGTACTATTTCCTGGGGTCATGTCCGAGCAGACAGGTGTGAAATTTCCCCAGACCAGCCTCTTTTTCATGAATGAGAAAAATCAATAAGCAATGTAGGTTGTTGTTGAACACCTTTTTTTTTTTGGAGAGGTTTTTGCTATAGGGCGCGTACGCTCGCCAGACAGACAGAGAGAGACAGAGACAGAAAGCGAGAAATCACCCCCCAGAGGGGATGGTCACGCCGCAATCCCTTCTCCTCCATTCTCCTCTTGGGATCTTGGGCACACACGCACACGCGCCCAGCATGAGTTCTAAAGTCACCGGGTCCGGGACGCGAACCACGGTCGACTACGTGGGAGTCCAGCGACATAGCCATTATGCTAACTGCTGGTTCCCGAACACGTTATTAAAATAATGAAATCATGGTACTGATGGCAGACCCTGATGTCAGCAGGCTTGCCCCGAAGGCCTGGGCCTGCTTTCTTTAGATCGCCCTTTGGTTCTTGCTCCTCTCAGCCAACTTTGGGGCTGCAGGGCCCTACCCCCAACCACAGGCTTGTCTGCTGGAGTGTGGGGCATGTGTGCCTGCCCAGCCGAGTCTTAGGACCCCCAAGCAAACTGCTCTCCCTCAGCCCTGCAGCACTTTGTAAACCAGCCGAGAGCAGCGTCGGCCAGACTAGAAGTAACTTGTTTTGTACTGTCTGCAGAGGCTTCAGGTTCAACTGGCCAAAGAGATAGTGTTGGAAGAGATCCTTGAGGCACCAATGGACCGGAAGCACCAAGTGGCAGTGCTGGTTTTGTACAGACTCATTTTTAAACCATTAAAAAATAATTCTTAATGGAAGAAAGCTAGTTCCTGACTTTTCTTTTGCTGCCACACAGCTCTGGCAGGGGAGGACAGAACCCATCCTGTTCAGTTACCATCTTTGGCTGCCGTGGGCAGAGGTGAGTGTGCCTGCCCACAGAGGTGACTGTGATTTCAAGAGAAACCCAGAACAACCCCGAGGTGGGGCGCAGGAAGCCTTCTATGACTCAGAAGGAGGAGACACCCAAGGCACGGAGCATGGTGCTCCTCTGACTCCATTGCAGAGGGATCTATGGGCCATTTCACTTCCTTCAAGTACTGTGAATGAAGCCAGTGGTAAGAGCCACTGTTGGGGGGCTGGCAAGTAGCATGGTGGCTAAGGCACTGGACTCCTACATGGCCGACCACGGTTTGAGTCCTGGACTAGGCTTTCTCACTTTCCCTTTCTCTCTCTCTCTTTTTCTCTTTTAAACTTTTAAAAAAAAAATAACAACAAAATTAAATAAGTAAATAATGCTTTTTTTAAAAAAAGCTACTGTTGGGGAACCAGCAGTTAGCATAATGGCTATGTCGCTGGACTCCCATGTAGTCGACCATGGTTTGAATCCCAGACGTGGTGGCGTAAACTCACGCCAGGCGCGTGTGCGTGCATGCCCAAGATCCCTAGAGGAGAATGGAGGAGAAGGGATTGCAGCGTGGCCATCCCCCCTGGGGGGTGATTTCTCGCTTTCTGTCTCTCTCTCTTTCTGGCAAGCACGCGCACCCTACAGCAAAAACCTCTCCCGGGAGAAAAAAAAAAGCTACTGTTGGGAAAACGGACTGATATAAGGTGCCTTAGAGCCAGTGTGGCTTCTGGAGGACTTACTCTCTTCTCTTCCTTTAAAAAGCAAAGGAAACACTTTTCCTGACTGTGAGATGAACGGCACGTCCGTTGTGGGAAGCACAGTACGCAGGAAGATGCGGAGAGGAAGAGGTTGTCTGTAGCCCTGCCGCACGGAGGCGACCTCCAGCCTATCAGCGTGTTTGCTTCTAGGCTTTTCCTGTGTGTATGCAGATACACATACAGTTTGATTTTTAATTGCCAAAAGAGGGCACACCTGCCGGCCAGGAGAGCGTGAGCCCCTCCCAATAGGGCCTGGTTACATCCCAATCTTCTCTCTCCGTTTCTCTATCCTGGCAGGTTTTCTGGCACCCACACGTACGTGCCTGGCTTTTTCGTTTTACCAGAGGGCTCATGTGCGTGCTAGAGAGAGAAACAGAGTGAGAAAGTGGAGTCGTTTGTTTTAAAGCTTCTCTCTCTTCTATGAGCACCCCCTGTGGGAATGGTCACACCATGGTCCGTTCTCCAGTCCTCCTACCTTCAGGACGTTGGGCGCATGCTCACACATCCAGACTTCTCAAGCTGCAGCGTCCAGGACTTGAGCCATGTGACTGGCCCTGTGGGATCTGCTGGATCCCACTAAGCATCAGGTGGGAGAGCCAGTGCCATCCTGTACTTAATAATGGAACATTGAGGGACCAGCGTTTAGTGTAATGGCTATGTCGCTGGACTCCCATATAATTGACCATAGTTTGAGTCCCGGACCCAGTGGCTTAAACTCATTCTGGTCACGTGTGTGTGTGTGCCCAAGATCCTGAGAGGAGAATGGAGAAGAAGGGATTGCAGCATGGCCATCCCCCCGGAGGGTGATTTCTTACTTTCTGTCTCTCTGTCTCTGTCTTTGTGGCAAGTGCACACGCCCTATAGCAAAAATCTCTCTAAAAGAAAATAAATTAAAAAATAATGGAACATTGAATTATTTCGCTAAAATTCCATTTGATCTTAATCTTGAAATGGGCTGTTAAATCAAGAAAGCACAGGGACCAGCAGATGACATAATGGTATGTTGCTGGCCTCCCACTTAGTCGACTATAGTTCAAGTCCCGGACCTGGTGGCTTAAACCTCACACGGGTGTGTTCATGTGCGTACCCAAAATTCCGAGAGGAGAACAGAGGAGAAGGGATTGCGGCATGGCCATCCCCTATGGGGGGTGATTTCTCTGTCTCTCCAGCGAGTGCACACTCCCTATATCCAAAACCTGCTAAAAAAAAAAAAAAAAAAGCAGCACCAAATATCATTATTTTTGTTTTCACAAATACACTAAGAATCTTTTTTTTCCCCTTCACAATTTATTAAGAGCCGACTATGTACTCCTCTCTGGGAAATAGCAGGCTAAATCAAACATCCTGGCCCGCGTTCAGGGTCTACCACAGCCGGGCCTGTGCTCTGGGAAGAGGGGTCTGGCAGGGCCAGCAGGGCTGGCACAGAGAGTTTGCACGTGGAAGAGCTCTTTGCTTAGGCAAACCGCTCACTGCGGTCTGGGTGCTGTAGGCAGATTGCCATGAGCGTTTCAACCAAGTAACCCCACACAGTGGCCAAGTTTGCTCCCACTCATAACCACAGCTGTCTACCTGGCTGAACGGCGTACTTCAGAAATGACTGTCAAGTGCTGACTGCCTGACGGGTCTCCCCAGTGACAGACACACCACGGGGCGGCCCCATTTCATCAGTGCCATTGGCTCACTTCTGTCCTCTGCCCACCCTACGCCCTCGTCATCCCTAAACTATCAACACATCTTAGGAGACAGTCAACTCATCAGATGGTAACACCTCACAAGTGAAGTTTCTTCAAGAAAATTGGAGGAGGTTTTTTTTTGTTTTGTTTTGTTTTTTAAGTTTATCTTCTTTTATGAGCAAAAGAGAGACAAAGCCTTGGGGCCTTGACTCCATGACACACGCCCAGCCTCAGCCAGCTCAGGTCCTGGACCCATCCACGCCTGCTCTACTCAGGTGTCTCCAGGTAGGAGCCCAGGACCTTCCCATGTAGGTAGATGAGCAGCTCATGTTTTTGTGTTTTTTAATTTGCCAGAGGCCAACAAGGACGGGAGGAGGGATGGACAGGGGTGATGAGAAAGTACCCCTCATGGGGTATGGACGCACCACTGTCCCTTCTCTGTTCTCCTCAGGATTTTGGACATGCACACACCCCTTGTGACTTTCAAGGTTCTGGGTCCAGAGCCCAAATGACGCAGTTGGCATGTGGGGTCCAGCTGCCTGCATCATGCCACTGGCTGGCCCAGGAGCATCTCTTACCACTGCAACATCACGGGGCCCAGCAACTGAGTTTTTAATGCACATTGGTCTGAATTTGGAGAAACATTTCATGCAATAACCTGGTTTTCTCCATCCTGAATTTTTTTTTTAAGAGAATTTTTTTTTGAGAGGTTTTTGCTATAGGGCACGTGCGCTCGCCAGAAAGACAGAGAGATAGAAAGCGAGAAATCACCCCCAGGGGGGATGGCCACACTGCATTCCCTTCATTCTCCTCGCGGGATCTTGGGCACGCACGTACATGCACCTGGCATGAGTTTTAAGCCACCGAGTCCAGGACGCGAACCGCAGTCGGCTACGTGGGAGTCCAGCGACATAGCCATCATGCTAACTGCTGGCCCCTAAGAGAAATTTTTGGTATAGGGTGCATGGGCTCACCAGAGAGACCCAAAGCAAGAAATCACCCCACAGGGTAGATGGCCACACCGCAATCTCTTCTCCATTCTCTCAGGATCTTGAGCACATGTCTGCACGTGCCCAGCATGAGTTTTAAGCCGCTGGGTCCGGGACTCAGACCACGGTAAACTACATAGGAGTCCAACAACATAACCATTACTCCATCTGTTGGTCCCTCCATCCTGATTTTTAAGAAATTTGCCAGAGGGTGGGTGTGGTGTGTGCACACCAAAGAGGGAGAAGGAGAAAGCACCCTTCCAGTGGGGCATGGTCACTCCATAATCCCCTCTCCATTTCTCCAGCCTGTTGGGATTTGGGGCACACACGCACCTGGCATGTTTATCAAGCCACCAGGTAGGTCTAAGATTCAACCCACACCTGTGGCTGTGTAGGATTTGGCTCCCTCAGCCACCAAGCCATGGGGCAACCCCATCTTGATGTTCGAGATGAGTTCTGTTTTCAACTGGGTTGTGCGGTAACAGCCACTGCTGGCGAAACCAGTTTCTCCTCTTGGTGATCTGAAGTTGAGTGGCAGTGCTGGGCCCATGGTGCTGTGCATTTGGGAACTCCTTTGCCTGTAATTTATTCAGGGCCTTTGCTTTCTGTGAGCCTAGAAGTTTTGGGCAGCTGTGTAGCCGGGAGGTATTGGCTGTTCCTGCTTGGGACCAGGGCTGTACCTCCTCGACAGGAGAGCTGAAGGCGTCATCTGCATCTGAGGACGCGTGTGCTGGAGCAGCTCTGTTCCACTTGTATAAGGAATCGGATGGACTTGATCCTCCACTTTCCCCCCTGCACCACCTAGAAGAAAGCCAAGACAGCTGATCTACAAGGTGCCTGGCCTCACACGTTCTCAGCCTGTCATTTGGGGCCTGCCTCTGCAGACCACATCCCTATCCTCCTGGAGCTTACAGTTTGAGTCAGGGCACACAGACAAGTGATCACGCAATTATAATGCAGAGGGCTACACGTCTTGATGGAGGAAGGAGAGGCTGTTACGAGAACACTTGATCCAATCACAGTGCTAGACCACAGTAAGCCTGTAGTAACTGGATGTAACGCTTGGCTCCATCTCATTCCCTCTGCAATACTTTTGTGAATCACTAGGTCCTGTATCAGCTCCCAGAGAGCTGTCTCCTAGCAATTTTATTTTACGGCTATAGGGCACGTGGGATTGCCAGAAACACAGACAGAGACAAAGAGACAGCGAGAAATCACCCCCAGGGGGGATGGCCACGCTGCAGTCTCTTCTCCATTCTCTTCTCGGGATCTTGGGCACGATGCACACGCACCTGGCGTGAGTTTAAGCCACTAGGTCCCGGACTGAGCTATGGTCAACTACATGGGAGTCCAGCGACATAGGCATTATGCCAACTGCTGGTCCCATTCTAGCAATTCCTTAATTTCCTTGGACTGCTCCCCCTTATAAAAGATGTTTCAAGTTTACCAAGTGTAAGTCTTGAGGCTTACACTCACCAGTAGCAACCCTGTGCTTCTCAGCACCAGTTGAGACAGGGCACAGGCTTCCCACCTTCAGGGAGAGGCTGCAAAACATCAGTCAAAAAACATTCCTAACACTGCTAGTGTCATCTGTCTTGGCATTCCAACCGGGTAGAGCAAATTAGCATTTAATATTTGGTAATTAGCATGCTTAATGTGATTCTGAGAAGTTCCTTGACATTTTCATAAAAACAGCACATTCCCGCCCACCTTTCTAGGAGTCCTAGATTGTCATTTTTCTGAAAAAGAATTGAGTGCCAGTCTCACGGTGCTGAAAATGCACGTGCTGGGCGTCTTCCTGGACATTGCTGGTAAATTTACAAACTCTTAGCGCTTCTTCTCGTTCAGAGGTCATGTGCTCTGAGAATCTAAGGGAAAAAGGCTAAATCCAGCTTAGGTCACCAGCTGTGATGATCCTTCTCCAGTAAATAAAAGTCTAACGCTCCCGGACAAACCACACAATCTGTTTCAAGCCCCCACCCCCGAAAAAACCACGCAATCTGTTTCAAAGCCGAGAAGGAGCCAAATTCTTAAAGTGTGGAGGGATACATTCTACTCTCTTGGTCCAGTGCGACAAAGTAACCAACCCTTCGCCCGACAATGTAGCGGCCGGCTCTCCTCCAGCTCAGACTGAAGCCCCCGCCTGCAAGTCCCAGCGCTCCAACACTTCGCTCCTACTGGAGACGTCAGCTATTTCTCCTCCCGAGCCCCGCAGCCACACGCGGGCGGTCCTCGATGCCTCCCGGTGCCGAGAAGGCACCGGAGCTCAGGGTGATGTACTACCCCGTAGGCGTAAGGCGGGAGGAGGGACCCCGGACCCCTTCCGCTGGCCCGCCCCGGAACCCGTCCCGCGGCCCGGGCGCGATCGCCGGGCCCTGGCCCGGGCCCCACGTGGCCCCTGGAGTGGGCTGCACTACCCTGCTGCCGCCGACCGACGGAGCGCCCCAGCCACTCTGCGCCGTGCTGCGGCCTGGCGGCCAATGAGCGCCCAGCAAGGCCG